GCAGCAGCCTAGAGGGTCTACAGAGAGACATGTTTACTTATCATATCTATAAAATAGCTCTAGCTCAGTCAGAACACAATGGCAGCTTTTTTGTCCAGTAATTTCTTTTCAAGTTTTGCCAAGGTTTTTTTTTTTTTTTTAATCAGATCTAGACCTACACTTTGACTAGGACATTCTAAAACATTAATTATCTGTTTTTCTTAGGGTGCATCCATTCTGATAGAAGGCGAACATCTGCCACAGTTTTCTATCAGGAGTGTCCCGTTAGCTCAGTCCATCTTTCTTTCTACCAACACTTCACTACATTTGTGCCCAAAAAGTTGCACTCTTCTGACCAGAGCACTTCCTTCTGGATATTTGCTAGTTCACCCATGCAGCCAACCCAATGGAAACAGTAGACAGCAGATTTGTTAAAAAATGTTAAAAGGGAGGTAAAATAATCTAAACCAGAGAAAATAAAAGCTGCAATATTCATCTTCTTGTTGGATTTTGTACAAGTTGCATTAAATTTAAAGTTTATCAAATTGTATCTTATGCTAGAGCAGCACATGAAAAGAGATGGTGGTCTGTTTGAATGTAAGCTAATCTCTAATTTTGACTCATTCAAGGTACAGTTTAGTGTTTTCAGCAAACAATAAGTCACATTGTTAGAGATACTTTTGGTCTTAGCAAGTGAACTGATGTACAAAATACAGAAGAGAAAATGGGGCCGAAGACTGAGCCCTGAGGAACACCATGCAACAAGGTAATGACTTTGGACATTATTTGCAAACATGGAAAAGTTTCTATTGCTCAAATAAGGAAACCACGTCAGAGCAGTTCCTTCCTATCTCTCTATGCAGTGATGTATGAGAAGTATCATGTAAAACGTTATTATAAGCTGCAAATCAATATATCATTAGAGAATTTTAACAAGGCAGTCAGAGGAGACTATAACTTAGAAATATTTACTGAAGCTCATCTATGATATCTTTGTTCTGGATATCTTTAGTCATAGATATTGCTGTTTGTCAATATAGTAGTGCACCATTCAGCCACTAAAAGTGGATCTCCTCCCTACATTCTTCATAGCCCCCTTGGTTAATTCTCACATAAATACTATCCTTATCTGGCCATTTTTAATTCAATGACTGAACACTGTTTTTTTTTTTATTATTATTTTAAAGCAAAAGACTTTTCCTGACCTGTCTGCTGTTTTTCCCTGGTTGTTTTTTCACTAATGTTCTCCAGCAAACCTCTGGGGTGTTCTCAGAACAGCCTTATTCTGGCATTGACTCAATTAAACTCCACTCAGATGGATTCTATTCAAAACAAAGGGGGCTCTAAGACTACTGGTTGCACTGATATTTATCGTAGAAGGCTGAATAGAAATGAAACAAACTTTTCATTTGTAAGCAAATGTAAACAAATTAAATCCAACTAGTAAAATACATCCAGACTTATGGATGCATAAAGGAAAATAAAAGAAAAAAAGTATGCGCTTTTGTAGGTCAGTGTATCTGGTATGGAAATAGAAATATTCAGCCATAAGGGTTTAATTGGCTACAGGATTAAAACTATACTACACTATGAAATTATAATAAGACTGCTATAACTGGTTACTAAGAAACGCATAAATAATGGGATTTTTGCACTTTTAAACTGGTCTCTGACAGACAGGTTGGATTTTGTTCCCTATATCAAAGTCCTTGTTTTTATTCTCGCTTATTGTGGAGGTATTTTTATTTTTATTCTAGTGGTACTAATCATCCTATTTCCATTTTTTTTCAAACAATTCATGCTGATCTGGGTTTTCTTGTACCAAATTGCCTACTGCCTGTGTTTCTGAGTATTTCTGTAATCTAACTCGGATTTTCTCTGCTGTCCCACAAAGCATTGAGAGTACAGCCCTACCCATTTGAAGATGGATTCATTGACCCCTGAGCGTCACTGTTCCCGGGCAGCTGTAACCTGAAACACAGGAACAAAATTGAAGGTGTTCAGAGAGCAGAAGGCACTCTCGAGAGAGATAAAACCAGCTAAAAGCTTTGCTATTGTTTGTGAAATATAAGCATGCAAACCAAAGGAACACAGGGAGGACAGATACAGACACTCCCAAGGTACATATATGGACCTTAGTTAAATGTTCAGATACTATTTATGTTTCACATTATTTGTAAATGTGATCTGATATGGGGGGGGGGGGTATTTTTTTATTAATTGTGATCCTTTGTACTTTTTAACCATATGAACTCTAAACCTGGGACACCTACTTGAAGTCGGTGATGATGGGGTCCAGCTCTGGGGTGTTTATGACCGACAGCCTGGAAAAAATAACCACTGAGCATCAGCATTACACGGTTGCTTTAACAACAGATTTTGTTTTTTTTTTAATTGTGGTTTCACTCCTCATTGTTCTCGACTGTATGGAGAAAAAAAAAAAAAAAAAGAAATGAGTGAATGTGAACATACCGGCTCGGGGAGTCTGGGCTGTCTGGGACGTCTAAAGCCTGCTCAGCACCCCTGTGAACGTAGCAAAGAAAAGGTAAGACACAATCTCCTGGTGGAGAGATGAGGAGTTTGAGGAGGGAAGTGGAAAATCTCAGGGATAAAGCTTCACAGGATTGTTTGAAATGTATGACATTAATGAGAAGAGAACCCTAAACATAATGGATTAAGTAAGAACCGGCTTAGGCTGCATCATTTAATAAAAACATGCAATTAATGCAAGACATTTCAATATTGATCAGCTAAAATGACCCCCTAATCTTCGTTCCACTTCATTGTTTTAATCATTAACAATTTATAACCACTCTCAGTTTGAAGATATATACCAGCCGGTGAGGGCTTTAAGGGTATTATTATTATAATAATGAGCTATTCAGCTCCCAGTATGCACAAAATGATTTAATGAGGGCTACAACTAACGAGTATTTTGCAAATCTATTAATCTGATGATTATTTTTTCGATTAATTGATTAATAATCGGACAACCAAAGGTTCCTTAAAGAAGATTTTTTACTAAATTAAACCAGTTGAAACTAAAATTTTTCTACTTGAGGAGTTCTGGTTTTAACATATCAAGAGACGAAAAAGTTATTTTTATTGTAAATGCAAAATGTTTACATATTTTCTTTACAACTTTGATATAATTACCGCTCTAAGTGTGTCGCTCTGTCAGCTAAAGGCATGTTTTACAGTGTCTACAATCCAGTTAAAGATTAATCGATTACGAAATTAGTTGATTATTTCAATAATCGATTAATCCGATGAATTGTTTCAGCCCTAGATTTAATAAAACATCCTACCAAATAATACATACAAGAAGTCCTTAATACAAACCAATATTGCAATTATGGCTGTGATTCAATACATCTAAAAGTGCAAACACTTTAAATTGAATCATGGTAAAAATAAAGAATAAAATCCCTGACAGATACACCTGTCGCATTAAAAGTCTATGTCGATCAGGTCATCTTTATTTCCCTAAACATGAACATGTCTATCAATGAATCAATGCCTTTCTGACATCATATTAGATTTACAGTAGATATGTAAAAGCATTAGTTCTGACAGCCCTGCGTTTACCTGTACTCCATTAGACCTACGTCATCACTCTGGCTATAATCCCCTTTCACCACATCAAGCAATGCTGTCCAACAGGCTGCAGACTGGTTACAGAGCTCATGACAGCAGGGAGAGCATTTAAAAAAAACATTATCATTCACTTTATCCTGCTCCTAAATATCTGAACAGAAAGTTTAGGATAGATTTATGAGTTTTAACTTATTCCCTGACTGAATGATTGATAGTCAGCGGGACAGTTTACATTGAGAGTAAAGGCTTCCTCAGAGATCAACCTTATCTACTGTGTGATAAGGAAAGATGAGTGTAATAAAGAGGCACTTTCTGACAGGACAGGGCCTGCACTGATTCCCGGCTGTCCTTCTATACTGTACTCACTTCTTGCTCTCATCCTTCCTCACGCTTCGCCTCAGGTTGTTGATGAAACTCATCCCACAGCGCGTGGCTCCAAACAGACTGCGGACAGAGCAGCTTTTTACACCGCGGACATGGAGGGACACAGAGCGGGGAGCAGGAGAGGACAGGGGCCGCCTCTCACTCACCTCTCACGGACACAAGTGTTGGAGAGCAGCCGCTGAGCCGCTGAGCCTCTTCCTGCTTCCTGACGTGTAGAAAGGTGTGCTGTTCTCATTACCAACATAATGACTTTTCTATTGACATGCACAGGAATGTGGCTCCTTGGTCCTAAAGCCCTCAGTTTTAAAATAAATAGGTATCAGCTGATAAACACCTTTTTCCCATATAAGAGTTAGAAAATAAATTATTTCTAAAGATAAACATTTGGTCACATTTATAAGAATAAAATACGGAAGAGGATTAGGGCCACTGGAAAAAAAAGATTTTTGAATATTATTTCAGTTTAATATGGGAATAAAGTCAGTCTTTGATCTCAGAATTCTGACTTTTTTTTGTTGAAAATTCTGACTTTGATCTCAGGATTCTGACTTTTTTCCAGGATTCTGATTTTAATCTCAGAATTATGACTTTTTTTTTTGAGAATTCTGACTTTAATTTCAGAATTAAAGTCAGAGCTAATCTCTAAAACAGACATGGCTACAGCTTGATGCTAACATGTTTGTTAGCTGTTAGAATTCAGTCAGAATTCTGAGAAAAAAGTCAGAATTCTGACTTTAATCATATTAAACTTAAATAAAATTTAAAAATCAGTTAACTTTTTTTCAGTGGCCCTCATCCTCTTCCATAATAAAAAGCTTGACTTTCATAAGTTATAAAAAAATCTGTGAAAGTTATGAAAACATATTAATATATTTTGTTTCTGTAATGTTTATAGTAATTATATTAATGCAAAATATTTTTTTGAACATTTTATAGAAATGCTGAAGATATAACTTTCTCCCGCATGGAGTCATTATTGAAGAGCAAAAGCAAAAAATGACAAACTGCAAATCTACACATTTTTTTTAGTATTTCTTCAGTTTTAATTAAATGTGTTACATTTTTTTCTGGTTAAGCCTCCCAATAATCATCTCTCTTAAAAGTTAGAAAATACAAAATAAAGTACAATTGGTTTGAATTTTAAAAAGACTTCTTGAGAGTAAGTCTACAAGCATAAGTGGTTCAGGTTTGTCTGTACAAAAGGACAGTAAGACGGACTCTAAAGTGGCCTTTGAAAAAAAAAAAAAAGAAACTATAAACACTGGCATTAGATAGTCAGGGAATAGACATGCAAATGTTGTATATACAATAAACTTCAACACGATGCAGCACTTATTGTAGGGGGGTTAAACACAAACAGGGCACAAAGCAAAATCATAAAGATGATAGCCATCCTTAATGCTGTGCTATATTTGATCAAAAAGATGAATTCAAACAAAATAAAACTTTTTTTCAGCATTCTTCCCTCATTAAAATCAAACTTTTATAGATGTGTGAGCAGGAGCTCTTCGGGTATAACTTTAAGATATAAAAAAAACAGCTCAGGCAGCTTTATGTGTGGCTATGATGAGGCATGAGGATGAAGTGCAGTGTGAGTTTCTATCATCACAGCATGAGCTGCTGAGGTAAATTCTCACACAGGATGAAAAATGCAATAAAATATTCAGCCCGAGAAAGATTTGTTGACTTTGAAACAAAAAGAGACTCAAAATCAACTGAGATGTAATGACTGATGGAATATCAGATGGAAATGTACAAATCAGCACCGACAGCAGCGCTTTGAAATCTGATCAAATTAGATGAAAGTAAGTAAGAATGTTACAAAAAAAAAAAAATGTTGATCAAAACACTAATTTAAGAAAGATGGTTTTAGTTTCCCTTGGGAAGATCAGTTTAATTTCGCAGTCATATGCAAATCTGGATGACAAACATACACCCAAACAATGCTGTAAAGTGGCTAATTTAAATAAGTTACCATTAAAACCTTCCAGTTCTGTCTCTAGCCTACAAGATGAAAAAAGTTATGCAACATTTATGAAATGTATTCTACCATTTATAAAACTGTGAGTAATCAGGGAAGAGCAGATAACCTGTCCCAAAGTGAATTCTTTCAAAATTCAGCACTCCAGTGTGGCCTGAAATCCAAATGCCGTTCCAGTGGAGGATGGAGTTTATGCTAAGCTAACAAATACAGAACGGGTGTTTGGGTGTGGAAATTTCAAACAGATCCAGTTTCCTGCTGAAGATGAAGATAATGGACCTACTTCTTGTTTTGTTTGTTAACATGCAGTTTACTTTTCACAGGACATTAAGAAAGTTGAAATATATATATATATATATATATAAAACCCTAATCAAGACATGGATGCCCTGTTTAAAAGAGCTGCTTAATAAAAACAGATGCTACATTTTCTTGCAGAAAAAGCTAATATTTTCACAGCCAAGTGTCGTTTTAGGATGTTATGGAGCAGACAGGAAAAAGGTCAGGGATTTATGGTTACTATAGATGAATGTTTAACTCAAAACCTCCCTCTCAGAGAAAGTCAAGATTTAATAAAGTGGAGTAGTGTTGCTAGTGGCTGAAAACTGCCTATTTTAGTCTAGTTTTGAGTGCATATTTAAATAAGTTAGATTCTAGAGTTGGTAGCCGGATTGGAAAACGTCAGGATTCATTTTCAACCTGGATGTCTCTTACTCTTCATCTCATTTAGTCGAACCCGCGGAGAGACCGACAGGATAAGAAAAACAGACTGTGTGTGATGTGAAACAGTGAGCAGTCGAAGGGAAGAAGGGGGCGCTGAAGGTTTGAGGAATCAGTTTGAAGTCTCTGCATCAGCTCTGTGCATCCCCCTCCCCCATGTTGCTTTGGTGCTTTTTTTTTTTTTGGGGCCAGGTCAGGCTGTGCAGCGCCAGCCCGGCTGAGGGGAGCAGCCTCCTCAAGAGAGTTCAGACTTGCTTAGAGCGATGGCGAGCTCCAGGTCCTCTTGCTCCTGTTGGGTGAGCCTTGCTAGTCGTTCCTTTTCCTCTCGCTCGCTCTCGCGCTTTGCCCACTCTATCATGTCTTCCTCGGTTGGATACTGCTCCATGAAACAGAGTAAAAAACAAACAAAGAACATATTGGGTGGAGATTATTTCCTCAAATTGGGGATTTTTGAGTTGTTGGGTTGGACTCAACTCAAAATTTCCATTTTCATAAAGGCTAATGTTAAAAACAGAGAAAAGGGGGCAGCTGCTAAAGAGATTTAAAGAAGAAGAAAAAAAATCACAAAGTGACATCTTTTATCCCTTTGGTCCTTTTGTCATCATTGATTTCACAGAGACGTGTGACCAGGATAAAGAAATGCATGTAGGCTGGGAATTCCACTGAGTCATATGATCAACATCACTCCCATTTTATAGATCTACGACCACAACAGGAAATGGACAGGAGCTGTAGAATAATCAGTTTGCTGTCCCAGACTGGACTCGGGTCGTTTAGTGAAGGACAAACAGAAGCTTCACTTCCGGGTGTCAATGCAATGAGAAGGGGAAAAAAAGATTACAACATGAGGAGAGAATACACGATGAGAAGGAGTAGGAGACATGAAGTGGACACAGGAGCGGTCATGCAAACAACAGTTTAACGAGACTAAGAACACATTTTTTCACGAAAAACATAAAGTTTTAATACTGGAATGGCCCTCACTTTTTGATCACAGATATTTAAATGGATTTTGGCTGTACAGTAAAAAAAAAAAAAAAAACTACCACTATGCTGTTTTCTAATACATTCATATAGAACACATGCTGCCAGCTCAGCTAAAGAAAAAAAAATGCCTTTCCATAATCTGGCCATGCAGATGGTAGGAAAATGACATCTTTAATTAAGAGTAAATTTATTCATTAATACTAGACGTCCAGTTTCTCTTTAGCATAAATAATATGACAGAGGGACATTTTGCTCACCATTTCTACAAGATAGAATTTAAAACTATAGCTACAAGAAACGTAGTTACCATCTTTCCTCTACCTACTGTTATACTAATGTTCCATAAGTTGTGACAAACAAGCTAGATAAGAACAGGGGTTTATTTTGTTCCAGTCATTTAGAGGATTCTACAGTAAGCAGCTAAAGGGTTCACTCTGAGGTCACCCATTCTTTACCAGAACACAGTATCTAAACGCCAACCTGTTTAAAAAGAGAAAAACACTCCTTTCCAAGGCTAATTTTGAAAAGGAAGGTTGTGTGATGCTGTGGGCTCGTCCTACTTCATAAACCCTGGAAAGGTCATTAGAGGGCATGGTCTTAAGTGCTTTGAATTTTATTCTAGTTAATTGAAAACAGGTCATAACGTTTTTTGTTTTTTATATATACACATGGTGTGAAATCAATGCAGAATGGGATGACAAAAGGACAGGTCAGCTGCAAAAGCCTAAATCCTATAGAAGACGTATGAGGCGATCTTAAAGGTAGGGAGCACAAAAGGACCCAGAACTCTGCATACAAATAACCTCAACTAGTGGTTTTAGAAGATAATAATTTCCACCCTTTCCTAGATTCGTCCACTAGGAATAGTTGTAGTTAAATCAAAAGCTGGATTTTTCCAAACATTTCCATGCTTTTTTTTTTTTAAACACATCTTTAACAGGGGTGCCAATAAGTGTGACCTCTACTGTATGTAATGAACCCCCAAACGTATGAAATATGTTCAAAATCTAAAGTAATTGATGCATCCAACTTTAAATCCCGAACAACCTTTCTTGATTTGGTTCAAAAACACCATGCAGGGCCATGCATTCAGGACATGCTTTGGAGAAAAATACACACAAACAAAATAGAATCAAATGAAGCAAAGGCTTAACAAAAAAACATTAAACTAAATTTGCAGGTGGAACAGTGATGGATGCACATAAAAGCCAGAGATGGTGGCTATGATTCAACACTTTATTAAACATTTCTTGGTAACAAGCATATAAACACACAAAGAATACAAGCAACACAATGCTGATCAGATAAGAGCGGAGAGGAAAATTAATCGATGAATGGATGAGCAGGTAAACGGCTGGAAGGACAGCATGGTTGAAGAGAAACAAAGACAATGATTTGGTGATCGATGGAGATGGCCAATCAAAGATGGTTAGAACGTGCAGGTTAGGGGTCGATAGAAACATGCAGGTGTGGTAATATTAGAGGCTTTAAAATCGGATGGTAAATTCGCATGCAGCCGCCCATCCCGAAAATTACAGCTTGACCAACTATTTCTACGCAGCGTTACAGGATACAGCTGCGGTTAGTAAAATAACACCGTTAGAAATGTATTTCTTTAGTTATAACAGAACCCCACGTCTCGGTTCATTGAACTGAACTCCTTTTACTCAAACATTTGAATATTTAGAAAATGATAAATCTGAACTATGCAGCTCTAACAGCTTATTAAAAGGTCTCAGCTCCAAGCTTCCACTCCGATTGTGTAACAAAGTAGAACGTCAATCAAAGCTGGTTGCTCTTAAAACTAAGCCAATTCAATTTCAAGGATAAAAATGGAATAAAACCCCTAGAAAGGCAGTTTCAACAAAACAAACTGTTTCATCTTATAAATAAGCACCACTTTAAGGTTGTTGCACATGCACATTTGGGATGGCAAACAGTAATCAAATTCAAGCAGGCTTTTGTCTTTCCATTCACTGCCAAACACAAGCTAAATGTGTTTCTAATATCAACAGGAAGCAAAAATTGTGTTTGAGGCTATAAATGAATGCAATTTAAATTGCATATAAAATATATTAATGTATCTATAACATTCGACAAATAAATTGAAAAAAATATTAAGTGCAACATCGACGGCAAAGTTTAAATTAAATGGAATCCCAAAATAAATCAGCCACAATATTTTGAATGATGCAAAGCAGCAGCAGTGTTATGAGAAAGCTCAGATATTCACAGCAGCAGGCAAGACTCAAAACACAAGTTTAGGTTAGCTAGCTTCAAGATATGTAGGTAAATATAAAGCTATTTCATTAAAAATACATGCAACCTTGTAGTCGTCTTCTTTAGGATCTTTTGGCAGTGAATGGAGCGATTAATTAAGGCTTGGTTGCAAATTCTTGGAATACTAGATGTGATTAATGAGCGGAAGAATATAGAGAAGAGGGTGTGACTATTGACTTTCAGGAGTAGGTGAGGGAGATGGTGAGAGGGAGGTGCTCACTTTGTCAAAGCTGGCAAATCGATCAGCTTCCCGCATGTTGTGGCGAGGAGGGGAGGAGGGGGCGAAGGGGTCAGCTAAAGGATCCTTGGCAGGCAGGGTAGAGGAGGAAGAGGAGAAGTCTGCAGAGGTCTGAAGAAGGGGTCCTCGCCGCTGGAAAGAGTCGGAGGACTCTGTCCTAGAGACTGATGCCCTCTTACCTGATGAGGCAGAGACAGCTGGCAGTGTTAATCCATCCACGTCACGGGCAGCTACAAAGCCAATTGCAATTCAAATCTGGAAGACCTTTTTGATATAAGCTAACCTGGAGGTGGAGGAGGTGGTCTCGTTGGTGTACCCGTTTTAGGGGGCAGGGCAGGGGGCACTGCAGAGCTGGCAGACTGGTTGTCCTCCTGGAACAGGTTCTTATTGTTGATGCCAAATTGGTCCGGACCATTAGACTGGAACAGACAGGTCACATAGATGCTCATTTATACTTATTAAAAGCCCAAGAAAATCTAAAAGCTTGTTGTTTCTGTCTTCTGTCTAATGTGTGCAGTAGACTTAAGTATTCACACAGCTCAAATGTTTCTATATTGTTGTTTTACAACAATAAACTTTAATGTATTTTGTTAGAATTTCATATAATAAGACAGAAAATAGCATATAATTGTAGAGTGCTTATTTATTTAGCCACAGAGCCAAAGGAAGAGGACCAGAAATATTGCATATCCATTTTTCCCTCTCTTTTTTTTCTGACTATCATTCCTCTCCTTGCTTCCAAAGAGTTTCCCCACATCATGAAGCTGCCGCCACGTTTTAGGTTGGGTTGGTGTTCAGTCATTTGAGAATGGGTTGGGGAGATATCCAATGCCTGGTAGATGGTTTTACAATCTAACCTTGAATTTTACTTCTCAACCTCTTTCTCCCTGACCCGTCTGCTGTGTCCCTCAGTGTTCATGTATACATTTACATACAAGTATAGTACTAAGTTCAATGCTGAAAGCTGTCACCCAACAGAAAATATCAACCACACTGGATCCTGTTTATTGGTATCACAGTCATATGAACTGTGTTGAAATGTGATCTCTGTTGGTCTAAACCAACACAAAACCAATCAAATACAGTCAATTCAGTTGAAGTAAAGCAATGAAATGTTAAATGCTTTTATTAGAAACCTGACAGGTTTGCGTATTTACACAGTTTTGTATGTTCCATTAGACAGTCCTCTTATGTGTCGATTTTAACTTGAGACAATCTTCAGCTGAGCTTCTGAGCTTTTTTTTGCACCAAAACATCCTACAGTTGGCCTTTGCCAGACTGTGATGCAACTACTTTCAGCTTCTGTAAACTGCAGGTTTTCCCTGAACTCTAGAAGTTACCTTTGACAAAGCAGTGAAATCTGCAAAGCCTCCTCCAAACGACTCATTGCCAAAAACAGCAGCAAATGGATCTGAAGCAGGAACAGAAGGGATTGAGTGCGTTTCATTCCAGTCATCTGTAATATCAACTGCTGCCAGATGGTGGTGCCATTTCATAAGACCTATACCTGGATCCGAGGTGGTGCTCACAGTAGTACCTCCAGGAGCAAAGGGATCATTAGATGGTGTGGAATCCTTCTAAAAGCAGACAAACAAAAAATATAATGATGTAATGAAAAGCATTCTTACCTTAAGGGGTAACATTCTGCAGAGTTCAAAGCATTTAGATTGAATGCACACACAACACAATTACACTGACCCCAGAAATACCCTTATTTCTTACTAAGCCTTAATTCAGTTTCTATTCGTTAAGATGTTCTTAATATGGCCAAAGTTCTTCATAAAAACAAATCGAAACAAATGTATGTGCCTAAACTAATTACCTATTTGTACACGTGCTTGTAATTAACCACTAACGTGATCATTCACAAACATTCCCATCACAAGAAGCTGTTCACTTTTAACTTTCCAAGTATAAGAAAAAGGATTCAGCCCTAAAAATACAGGAACTTCCTAACCATAGAAATCCTGTTCTAGCAGTTTTAAATGTGCTGAACTTTTTATGCTTATGAAGCATCATGTCTAAATGATTTAGGGAATCTTCCCTATTGGTCCAGGCTGTTGAGGAGCTGCATCATCTTTTGTTAGAAGGCTAACTTACCGCAGCCAGATCAGAGCTTGTAGAAGAAGAGCTGAATGGATCTGACCCCCCCTCCTGTGAACTGAATGGATCCACCTCCCCAGCGTTGTTCATTTTGCTTCCAAATGGGTCTGAATCCCCCACTTTGTCCCCTGCAGAATTAAAAGGATCCTTGGATGCTGGGGGTGGACTGGCTGTCTTAGAGACGAAGGGATCTGGGGCTGCTGCAGCTGATGCTGGTAGTGCTGATCCATCCTTAGCTTTGGCTGCAAAGAGGTCTGGTTCTGGTATTCCAGGCGTTGTGCTAAATGGGTCAGCTGAGGCTGAAAAAGGGTCTTTAGAGGGAAAACTGGCGTTGGAGGGCTGGGGGAAGAAAGAGTCTGCAGCGAATGGGTCTGAGCCTTTAAATGGATCTTCTCCAAAGGGATCTAATAAGAAAAAACACAAAAAAAAAACACTTCAGAGGTCAGCTGAAATGATTTCACCTAAGCTAGGATTGCTGGAGGGAATAACCACCTGCTACATCTGCTTTTCCAAAGAGATCTTCTTTGAATGGATCATCTACAATAAAAACAAAACAAAAAAAGATACACTTAAGTGACAAACTACTTTTATATAAATATCTTCACTGTTTTAAAAATATTTTGTGCTCAGACAGGCAAACTGCATCATGAAGTTTGATTCCTATGTGAGGGCTTACGGTCAGTGAAAGGGTCTGTATTGAAGAAGTCGATCTCCGGCAGGGAAGGAGGGCTTGTCTGTGGTGGAAGAGAGCGAGGGCCCACCTGTGGAGGTAACGGGGAGGGCGTTGTTTCTGTAGACTCTGATTGCTCCTGCTGGCTCTCTGGCTCTGGAGAGTCAACCTGGTGGGAGGCCACATGGCTGTGAGAAGCTTCAACAATTACAAAATATCATGTTCATTTACAGTAAACATTAGAAATCCTCTTAAACCGTTATGCTTCTGCAGCCTTCTTTTTGGGACTCTGGAAGCAGACGATATAATTCCTTGGTCTCATTTTACTCGTAAATATTCTTTCCTGCATAAATTAAGTCTAAGCATGCTTCCAGAGAATGTATTTTATAACGCAAAACCTCCACCACACATCTGTGTCTAGGTTAAACAACTTCACATGACATAATCTAACAAATATAAAATTTAGTAGAGACCAACACCTAATGGCACATGCAAGTTGATTTAAAATGCTATGTATTGGGTTTAAAGAAATAAAGCAGCAGGAAGTAGGTCATGGCGAACCCAGTCGTTATATAACACAGTATTTATGGAAAACCAAATGTCTATCTATTCTATGTATTTATTATGCAATATGATTTACCAACCAGTTTGCTTTACACAAACATTAAATCTGACACCAGTCAGATGTCATGTTTTTTAAGAACAAGCGCCACCTAGTGTTCAACTGTGTCACACTCTGTAAGAAGGAAAGAGCTCATTTATGTTGCATTTTTTTAAAATCCAAGATATTTCATTCTATTATCGAGTTTCGTCTCTAAGAAGAAGGATGTCATTGCTTCCCTATAGAGAGAAGGACACTCTTAGTTCCCAACAGAATCCTCTGATTTTTTTTTCTTGTGTCTAGGTTAAACAACTTCACATGACATAATCTAACAAAGTTATTGCAAATGTATTACCAAGAGTAATGAAAAATTTTGGGTAAGCTTTGATTGTTCTAGCAACAGTCAACTCAAGATTTCAGCTAGCATTACAAGCTCACTATTTTTCAAGAATAAAATAGACCAGTCAGCTTTGGACTTGGTTGGTACCCATTGTTTAATAAAAGGAAAGCCACACAAGTAATGGCTTGTATCTGACAAAGGTAATAACAAAAAAATAAAATTCTATGAACAAAAATAAGTCAGATATTGCTTTTCATTTAAGAGGGTTTGGTTTATGAGAACAAAATAAGCATCTTTTGCTTAAGTACAGCACCTATATCAAGCTTTAAATCAAAAGTTAAAATCCTCCCTTAAGAGTAGTGCTATCACCATAAATTTGGGGAAAATGGACCTTTACCTTCAGTGGAGTCTCTTTTAGTGATTCTTCATCATCATCGGAGGCCTCAGATGACACATCTGGTGCTAAGCTGTTGTTTTCCTGCTGAGTTTAAAGAAAAATGTAGATTATTAGGAGAGCAGCTTTTAAAAACATCTCCCTAGACAAACAGATTCTATATTTAGACTGGTAATAAAGGGTCTATATCATGCACATCAACTTTTGTGAGATTTTAACTACTATATATATAAGACTATATTTCACTTGATTCATGCATCTGTTAGTTATCCTCATGCGATTTGCTGTCTGAGAAGCAACCCTCCTGTTAATGAAGAATATCTAGGTAAGAAGGCTCACTCCAGAAAGCACCAGCCTTTACTATGCTCCAACCACACTGTAAACAAATGACAACTTTCTCCGATCAGGAAGGGGTGATGTAAGGCAGAGTGCCAGAGATACCAGCTCCAACTAAAAACAAAGGGACTATTTTAGCAGCTAATCTGCGCAGGGACAGAAACATTTCTTCATAAGATAATGTCTTTAAAATCATATTTTTGGCCTGAAGAGGTTTCGGACGTTGTTCGACCTTCAGAAGGGGTTTGATACAGCATGTTGAGAAATAAACGGCATCCAGACAAAAAGAGGCAACCTCTCTTTGAAAACAAGTTTTCTTTTCTTCGGGGTTGAAAGAAGATACCCTCCTTTTAAAACCAATTAATCTGTAGCGTTAGGGGCATTATTTAATAATTTATTAGCCTATAGGTGACTTCCAAAGCATGGTGCAGGACATTTAATCTTATTCTATAATCACTGTTGTGTTCATCCACTCTAGAGACTTGATTGTGTAACAAATGTCTGTGTATGCATTACCTCAACTGGGTTATCTCGTAGCTTAGAAATGGTGGACAGACTGCTGTACATATCAGTAGATGCTAGACCGGAGAAGAGATCATCCAGAGCATCAGGTTTGCTCTTCTCCTCTGGAGCCTTGGTGCTCTGCTCCTCCTTCTCTCTTTCAGTCTCATTGACTTCCTCCCTCTCCTTTTCATCTGAATGTTCTTTCTGCTGACTGGTGACAGCAGCTGGCTCAACCTCCTTAAGCTCTTTAGGTAAGTCCTCGTTGAAGAGGTCAAGTTCTGCCGTGGAGCCAGCCGATCCATTAACCATGACTGGGGAGCTGTCCTCAAGGGCTCTCTTCCAGCTCAGCTGAGCAGTCACTGACCTCTCTTCCAGACGAAGCTCTTGTACTTTCTGCTGAATCTTCAGAAAGTAAAAGAAAATTATTACATGGTGACCTTACATATCCAGTGAAAGCATATAGAAGAGAAAGCAAAACTAAAAAAGTAGAAGAGTGGTGGTGTTGGCCTGAGAAAGGTTTAGACCTGGGAAACTTGAGTAAAGGAGTCCCGCACCGACTCCTGAAGAGGAGTTAGTTGCTCCTGGGCAGCTTGAACCTTTTCCTGCAGCCTCCGGCTCTCCTCCTGCAGAGCCAGAAGCTCCTCTCGTGCCTGAACAAGCTCCTCCTCATACTGACAGATCTTCTGCTCCTGCTCCTCATGCTCCGACTCCAGTGATGAGATCTAGAAATATGAAAGTTTATATGAAGCTGCACAGGACCTCAGATATTTTTGGTTTAAAATAAAAAGGATCCTCTCAAAAGCTTTTGATTTTATCAATCTTCAGTGATTAATTCTGACTAGCATCTAAGGATAAAGGAAATGTTAACATACAAGTTGGGTCTCCTGGCTGGTCTGCTTTCGAATGAGGCTGAGCTGCTCCTCCAAATTGGCTTTCTGCTGGTCGAGCTCATCTAAAGCTTCCTGGACCTTCTGACGCTGAGACTGCAGCCGCTGAAGCTCCTCCGTCTCCTTTGCTACTTCGTCTTGGAGGTCCTAAAAACCAGATAGGAAACGTTGAGATTAACAGATATTTGGATATTTTTCTGAAGAAGAACAATACTGAATGGAAACCTTAAAGGTCTCCATTCAACATCCATCTGCCAAATCCACATGCTCAGCCCTCTTTCAAATTAAAAATAAAGTTTTTGGATTGTATGTGACAGACCAACTCCAAGTAGTTAATAATTGTTGGAAGTATGCAAATTTTTTTAAAACATAAAACATGCTTTCTCAGTATTAACCCAAGTAACTCCTATGCACTACTTTGTGTTTAAGCCACTAACATGCATTGAAGTCTGTTGTTTTAAGGTTTAATATGATGTTAAAAAGTTTATAGAGTAAAATTTTGTTCAAAGACTTCAAAGTCCAGTAAAAGGGTATCCTTTTAAATGTGAAGCTTTCACTAAAATGTTGAAGACTGCAATCATACAATGATTGCTCTGGAATAACTTTTTTATTACGGTAAAAGCTGATAGAAAAAAAAAAAAACAACCAGAAAATTAGCTGCTACAAACATAAATAATTCCAACTGCATCACATTTATATTCCACAGAGATCTGCGCTCTCTGTCTCGGCGCTGACTATTTAGAACAGTCTTGCCCTTTAAAAAGATGGTTCCCAAAATAGAGACGATCTGTGGGACTCAGGGGGGGCGGACACACCTTCAGAACTACAGCCCAATTCAGTCAGAAAAACAAAGGTATTCCTGAGGCGATTCTCAGGCTGCCGACTAAATGTGACACAGATCCTCCCAATTATTTCATTGCAGGAAATATTTTCAAAAACAGATTTAAAAATAGATTTAACAATGGCATGGATTTTCCTTAAAGGGGCAATTTGTCATTGTAACAAACTAAATACAAATAAATGTCAGCAGACTCTGTTCTAAAAACTGCCCCTCCTTTAAATATGTATTTTCCACAAAGCAAAATGGGTAGCCTTACCTGAACTTCATCCGTGCGTTGTCGAATAGCCTCCTCCTTCTCCTTTATCTCCTCCTCTACAGAGCTCTTCTCTCTGGGAGTCCAGCAGAGGAGACAGAAGTGGTTAGCCACAGACGACAGACAGGTTAGACTTTGCAGCCCCACCCCACCCAGCCACAGCCAGACGTCTGCTGAGGGTGCATCACCCCGTTTATCAAACACCGCCATCTCCTTTCGCTGATCTAACATTATCCTAGCATAGAATCCAAACTTCCAAACTGAAAGATTTGTATCTAAATCCAGCTTGAGAGAAGCCGGCTGGAGGCGAGTCAGACTTTCGGAGTGTCCAGCGCTGTAATCACCAAGAGAGAAAGTGTTTAATAAAGTCTGGTGAGAGAGCAGCAGAAAGCAGATGGGTGCTGGAGGAAGGTGGAGAGAAATGAGTCATAACAAGCTGAGCTACAGCATCTATCATCTGTGCTTCCCAGGTTGCTCTTCCATTTGATGCTATTTTTGCAGCACTGAAGTAGCTGCAGAGCAGAGAGCTGGGTGGTTCTCCCTCACTACTCAGATGGTTTAGGTTATTTTGTACTTATCAGAATTGCTTTCTACTTAATTGACAGGCAAATTTATATTCCTAGGATACGTCTAAAAAACAAGAACTTTGAAATGAAATTAGCATGATGGCAGAAATGCTTAAAAAATTTCAATATTGTGGGAAAAAAAATTGTGCTTCAATTTCTTGCCGCATAAAATACATTCATCTTTATGAGCATCGATCCAACTCCAATCGGACAGGAAGTCTGCCGTAGGATCTGTAAATAAGGGCAGATTAAGTAGACCATGATGTTTCCAAACACCAGGTCTTATTTAGACCCAGTTATTATACCTTAATTTAATTTGTAACTGCACAAATTTTCTAGTAATCAGGACATATAAATCCTAAACAATACTGAGTAGGATCGTATACTGTTATTGTAAGGATCACGTATAGAGTAGATACTTCTGCCAGTTAGCTGGAATCATCTGCCTAATTTAAAGGATGGACACAAAACATACATGTCAGGGTGTCTGTGACTGTGCTTCCTACTAGAGGCAGGGTAGCTGAAGCAGTCAGTCATCTGACTGGCACACAGGAGGCCCTGGGTTTGAATCCCCGCTGGGGGGAATAAGCTGCCAGTGTGGGTTCTATAGGCTGATTTATACTTCGAAACTAGGTAGTCCCCGCCCCCCTCCGCAGACACTGCTGCACCTCTCCCAAATTGTAGGTGACCACAGACAGGCGGCCTCTGATTGGTCAAATCTACATCTACACTATGCGTCTCCTGTTTGGTACCTTACCGGCTTGTTTTGATTGTATGACTGCGATTGTGAAAAAACGACTCGGAAATTTGGACCAGCTAGAAGAGCAAGGTGCGCGAGAACGCTGGGACGCTTTTTCCAGCAGGATCCCCACTCTTTTTCGCCCCGATGTCCCTGCGTTGTCGGACAGACCTGCCCCCATTTTCTAACCACCTCGGCCGTAACTAGACCCACAGCTAGTTCGTGATTTTCCCCTTTTGCGTTGTGTCATGGAATAAACATAGAGCAGACCACGCTTCAATACTGAGCATAAATCAAAAATGTCTGCGTCATACCTGCGACAAGCTCACTGCGACACACTGCTGCGGGAGTATAACCAGCCCTTTAGGCAAGACCCTCCGCGCTAATTCCTACTTTGCAAGTAGCTTTGGATAAAAGTGTCTGCTAAATGCATAAACATAAACCTACCTTTAAATAATTTATTGGACATTAGAGGCTGAATGTTGGGGTCGGATGCATCAATTTTAGGTAAGTGAAGCCACATTGTGAGAGTAATCCTTTCAGATAGGTGTCAAAAGATGCTCACAGGGAAAGTCAGGATGTAGTTTTTTTCCTGCAGAATATCTCAAATTACTAATTTACTAATACTAATAAATACTAATTATTAATAAAATCTAAATTACTTATTAATTTTAACTAAAATTGCAAAGTTATTTTGATTTTTCTTTAAACTAACCACAAGCTTGTAGATGTTTTATTAAAAGGGTTTTAGTTTTTCTGACCTTGAAATCTAGTTTGTAACAAGACTGTACTCTAACCTTTGTATGTAAAGGTCCTAAATTCTACTCCCATGCATGGGTCTGTGTGCTAGCTGCAACTCGCTCTACCTTTGGCGTGTGGCACCAAACTCACTTTACGTGTATTACTGCTCTCTAAAGACCCTACAGTGACAGATATGTCAGTGCATTACTCTTGTAAGATATAATGCAACCAAAATTTAGTGCCACTGCAATTTAAAATTGATTTTTTTTTTATTGCTTTTATATTGCAAATGCAATGAATTGCCCAGCCCTAGCAGATCGTCATGTAGTAACATCAACCTTTCACAGTCAAAGCTACCACTGATTGTAGCTTTAGAACTTACAATACAGTTAATGTATAAATAACAGTTCTGAAATATATAATAAAAATATCAGCTGTATGGAAATAAATAAGGTATTTAAGCAATGAAATAAATGATGAAACTGCTTTTCAGGGGTTACCATAGAGGTTTGTGTGACGAGGTGAAAACTTTATCTGAACCCTTTCAGATAAACCATGAAAAGGTTACACCAACTGCTTTCACCTAGATGTGTATTAAATTATTATGACAAAAAATATTTATTAATTGGGAAGGTAGCACATTCTATGATCCAGTTTCAGTTCAAACTAAAAAAAAAAAAAACACAACAGTAGGAACTACAGTCATCTAACTTAACACCAAAAACAACTCTAGAGAATTGAAACTAAACAAAAATGGGGGCGGATTAGTGGGCTGCAGTCTTGAGCCTACGGCTTAATTTCAATGAGGCTACTGTATGCCTCTAACTAATGCATTTCTATATTCTATCTAGAACTGTTTTCTACGCAGTCTCTGGAAACTTTACAAATATTACAAATCAAAGACAGCATCCAAAGATCCACATATAAAATGGCTTACATGTTATTTGCTAAATAACCCAACCAAAATAAAGGCTAGCCATGTTCTGTAAAGAAACCCGACAGATCTCAGTTTCACTTTCAGACACCTTTAAAAATAAACCAATGCAAAGCCATTATTCTTCATCATCTTCAATGCTAGCTAAAAATAACAGTCTAACAGCATATATTTTTATATTCTGACACTCACCACACATCCAAACTGCCTCAGAGTTACTATTAAAACATCTAATTTCTCCTCCTGTCTTACCCGCTATCATTTTGACGGCCATCTTCGTTTCGAGAAGTTTGCAGCCAAAATCTGAAGCATCTGCAGAAAAGCATCATCTGTCCAGATTTTCATCCAATACCTGTTTGAATCCGATCTCTGACTTGGTTTCTACTTTCATGTCTGATTGCCTGTAACAGCTGCTACTATTGTTCCTTTCAGTAAGGTCATGCAAAAATGCAGGTGGCCTGAACAGCAAGTTTCTCATTTCTCACTCTCAGCTCTCAAGATTAGGGAACTTAAATTATTATTTCTACAAAACAAACGTCTGTAACCTGGAAGTGAGTAGAGTATTTTCTAATAATATATTTCATGCAAACACAAATGAAAAATCAAAAGCTGCATCTGTATTTTAGTACTGAACAATACGTAGCATCAAGGCAGCAGGAGAATATATTGATTTCTCTGCTGTTTTTCACTCCACACCTTTCCTCTTGCCATATTTTTTGTATTTTATCATCTGCTTCAGCCCATAAATGTAGACTTTAGCTAGGATTTGGTTTAACCATTTAAACATCTAAGGGGCATAGATTCTCAGTTTGATGGAAACAATGGATCCTGCAAGTCAGCCAAGGATAAAAATAAAACAGATTTATCTGCTATTATGTAACATGGGCATGGCTTTTTTTTCCTTTGTGCAAAATTTATAGAAACTTTGCACATAAATCAAAGGACAAACAATTAATAAACACTGGTCATAGTTTTTGGAATTGAAGGTAAACCTATAAAAAATGAGCAGCTAAAACAAATTTATCCTATATTGCATCGGTATTATATTAATATTTTTAGAAATATTCAACCTTTAATTTATGGACGTTTTTCTAGAGATGATGGCAACATTGGTAAATTGTTGTTACCCCTCAGAATCACATTGAAATGTTTTCCTACCTGTTATTGTTGACTATTGCTCTTTGAGTAATTTCACCAATAAAGCCTGTTTTAAGCTGCAACAGAACAAAACAATAAAAGTATTTATGCTGATATATTGTATGGATATCTGTATCACTCAAAAACTGGAATATCTGTATCATATCGGAAATGGGGAAAAAAATAAAATTTTATAACGTTTTCTACATATAAATACATAAATCGGAACAACGCAAAATTAACTTTACCAGTAAATTTAAGATGCTGTTTCTTTGCAAATTCTCAGTCATCTAGGTCATGTGCACAACAAAACATACTTAATTTGGAGGCAACCTAAACTGAGCAAAAATCTATGTTTACCTATTTTGAGGTTAAAAAATGTTACAAGATACAAAGATAAAAAATAGGCAGTACTGAAGTTCAGATCAGAAGACACATCATCAACCCTTCATCTTAGTCAATTCAGTAAGTAGCACAAAAAAACTACACAAAGATGCAGGTCAAGGATCTTTGGTTCCAGAACTTGTAAAATTAGCGTTGAGCTAAACGCCATCTTTGTGGCACAAGGATATGGCAAGTAAAAAAAAAAAATTTTTTTCATTTATGCTTTTTCCCCACAACTTACTAAAAATAAATACATTTTTGCATAGTAAAATGATGCACCGTTTTGTTATTGATTTTTCAACCAATGCTTATGGTAATTCACCATTGTAGCGGCATACACAAGTATTATGGATTTAAGATGAACATCCACTGCATTTTCTTTCATACAAACATCAGTACAACATCTTACCTCTGGAGCTCAAAAATCTCATTGCTGAGGGTATCAAGCTCCTTAATAGCAGAGAAGTCAGCTGCCAGATTTGCATTGTTCTGAAAAACATCCAAAACCATAACTGCATGGGTCAGCTTTCCTTTAGTCAGTACAGAAGGAGTTGACAAAATCAGAAAGAACAACCAATTTGTTAAATAAGGGAGCCAGAAAAAAAAAAAAAAAATACATCTTAACATATGTTAAAGTAAAGCAGAGGCTAATCTATTTTCTTATGTTGATATTTTATGTCAAACCCAACAGCACAGTGAAAAAAAACAAAAAAAAAACAAAAAACAGAGGAACATTAAAGAAGGGCAAGGTCTTATTGAGCATATGCGCCTAAAAATATAAGATTTATTTTATTACATATATGTATTAAGTCTGTTAAAGAAGAGGAAGAATTTTGCGGTAAAAACGATTGATGTCAGATGATGATTTATTGTTACCAGGCCAATGGCTTCCTCTCATTATAAGGTCTGTAGTTATATTACAACACAATAACCTAATTCTTTAGCAAAGTCAGAACAAATCTTTTTTTTTTTTTTGTGAGAAATGCAATAAATGTACAAATGTTAAAAGCTATTTATTTTACTCCAAATGTATAATTTTTTATATCTAGGCTTGAATATTTGGAGATATTTAAAAAGATTTACGTCTTAAATATTTTAAATAAAAGTTACTTTTTATAAAATCACAGAAAGCCTGTTAGGTTTTATTTCTACTCATAAAAGTAAAAAAGCCATAGGAAGTTTTTTTTCCCCTTTCCTTAAGTTTAGGTTGTGCCTTGCCCCCAAAAGTAAAGTTATTTATATTAGATTTTTTTTCCAAATAAAAAATTATAACAAAGGTTATTAAAGGTTACTTGTCCTAAATAACACAGGTCTACACATTGCCCCATTATGAAAAGAAACTAAAATATCCTATTAATGTTATTTCTGCATCTAGTTTTGGCCCTCTGTATATATACTCCACTTGAAGGAGTCCCGAGCCAATGCGCAGATATACATGCTTTTCATGTTCATACAAAAAAAAAAAGGAAAAAAAGATGGAGCAACCACCTAAAAAACAAGTATATATACATATATATATATATATATATTCTTATACATCAATAATGCCGCCAGAGTCGTGAGGATAGCAGCCATAACTCTGCTACAGTAGAAATCAACCCATGTGCTTCATGCTCCACTACCTCGCAGGCAGAGTGGACTTAAAGGGTCTCACCTGTTTGCCGTTTTGTCTGTCGGATGGAGGGATCATTTCCACAGAGAGAGTCTGCGGTGGATCCAGGCCTTTCGTCAGCTTCAGATTAATCAGATAAAGCGCCAAAGCAAACTGCTCACGGGTCAGCTTCCCCATGTCTCCAATGTCACAGAGCTCCCTGAGAACCAGAACATGCCAGTTACATAAGAAGCTAAAGATTTTCACCTCAGGCAATAACCGTTTTTAATAACACCACTGAGCCATCCTGTTCTGTCAATATGGAAACCAATAGACTGGATTGGCACAGCACGACTGTTGACATCAGCCATGAGGGATAAAAATCTATAAAGTTACTGCTCTTATGTAAAAGCATGTGCCAGAGGTATGTGGTTATCCTTTAACAATCAATTACAGTCTGCAATCACAGCTAAAACAATACATTAAATTAGCAAAATAGGTCTAAATTCTAACAATGACAACATTTTTCTCGTTCTGTAAAAATGGGACTAAATGGGCCTGAAAACTTCATCTTGACAAGTTACTGTGTCTGCCTACCAGATACGTGCGAGTGTAGCCGATGGCAACCCGGTTTTGAGAAAAATATCTCTGACTTCTGCTCCGGACACCAAGCCATCCATGTCGCTGTCCGTCTTACTGAACAGTTCATCGTATTTAGCTTTATCTGCCGCCGACACCACCCACTGCAAAAGAAACAAAAAAACTTAGCTCTTTGGTGAAACAAATACCACAGATCCACAGCTCCAACCATCAAATCCAACAAATACTCACCTTACCACTCTTTCTACTCTTCTTCTTTTGAAAAACACACTGAGCTAGCCAGTTTGAGATCATTTTAACGTGTCACTTATTTTTTTTTGTGTTAGTAAAAAGAAAATAAAGAGGCTTTCAGGTGCTGCATGCACAGGAGAGACAGAAGCTGTACTCACAGGGACAGCTGCTGGTGTTGGGGCAGGAGCTGGCGCGGGTTTGGGAGGGTGGGGAAGGGTCTTCGAGCCAGTGTGGGAGGAGCGACTTTCTTTCACAGAGGGAGGTGAGGGTAACAGGGGCATCACGGGTGCCACCGCAGATTTTTTCCTCTTAGAGGGTGGAACTAAAGGAGGCGGTAGGGACATGGGAACGGACTCGCCCTCTAGAGCTCTATAAACCAGAAACATTGCCTGGGAGAAAGTAGCAAAAGAAATCAATCAGAAATGATAATTATCCAACAGTGATTTAATTTTCAAATCTCTTCCATGTACACCGAGTTTGACCCGTTCAGCTCTACAACCTGTAATATGATGTTAACAGACATTAAAGAGAAAAATTTTGCAAAGGCAAATGGGCAGAGGTGTTATTTTCCAGCTGTGCAAAGCTGGTAGAAGAATACCCTAAAAGACTTGCACCATTTAACGGCAGTGACATGTGCATTTACCACTCTCTTCAGATTGTTATACATGTAATGTTAGGAGAAGCTTTCTGGTGTAACATGACCAAAGTCAAGGAATAAATACAGTTTTAAGAGTTTTTAAGTCACCACTGCTCCGGTCTCTTTATGCATGTTATTATATTATGATTATGGATCAACTTACCACAGAAAATTCATCTCTGTCCAACATGCCATCTCTGTCGAGGTCACTGAGCTCCCACACCTTCATCACACAAAGAAATTACTCAGCATCTTGCATTGAAAAACTGTATGCTGCATGTTAACTTGCCAATGAAAGCACTGACTCACAGCCTGTTCTTACTTTAGGTCATTACTCACTCTATCACTGTTCTTTTAGTCAATTTGAAAATAATTTATATCATATTAATTTACGTCATCTTAACAGATTTGGCTGCAAAAAAAACTTTGGATCATATTTTATAGAATTTTACTTGATGAAAAACTCACACTTGATCATTATTGTGTGTTCATGACTTAATTATAGATATAAAATCAACTGTAACCTTGATGCATTGCTTTGTTGTCCATTTAAAATCTAAGCTAATGCAGTGCCTTATAAACAAACTACGACATGAACTAATTTCCAAATAGGACCAAAGATAGGCGTATGATTCTAGATCATTGGGTGGGGAAAATGAGAGGGACAACTTTTTAACAAAGTGTTTTACATGCTTGTCATGAAATGATTTCATGCTTAAAAAAAGAAAAATGTCTCTTACCCTCCCCAAGATGTCCACAGGCAACTTGGAGTTGAGCAGAACAGGTTTAACTTTGTCTCCTGACAGCATCCCTCCAACCGGACCCAGACTCTCAAAAATCGAGTCAAACTTCATCTTCTCCTCCGGCTGGAGAAAAGAATCAAATGAAATTATTACATTATGAGAATTTAAAGTAAGTTTAAAGGTATAAAGAAAGCTTAAACAACTATAACTTTGAAACATTAAAACCTCCGCACCTTGACAACCCAGGGTGTGTCGACAGCCGCTCCTCCTGCCAACAGTGGGCTACTTGTATCATGCTAAACGTGTTTAAAAACAAAAACATTTGAATGAATAACACAAAAACAATATAATAAGACACTGTCTACAGCAGGGATTGTGGAGGACTATAATTCACAGCAGTGAACTTACAAATTTGGGTGGAGGAACAGCCACATTAAGACTCTTAAGCGCCACCTCCAGGCCATTCTGAGCACAGGCAACCAACCGCAATGCTATGAAGAATTGCTAAAGGGAAAAAAGCAGGCATGTAAACCCAGCAGGGATCCCACAACAAAGCATATTATAACACAGAAACATTTTCTTCCCTCCTCAGTTTTGCTTCCCTCTAAAGATCTTAAGATCGTTTAAAATTTTATGAATAATCCCTGGATTCTGGTGTTTAAAGGAGGCTGGTATTAAAGCCCATCCATAAAGTTAAGGAGGACAACAGCAGTTAAATAGTGTTTTCAATAAACAGCTGTTTTTACTAACCTTTACTGCCATCAATTCTTAAAACATTGTGATTTTGATTGAGATAAGGGGAACATGCAGGAAGGCTCCATATGAGAAATGCTGAAACACAAAGTCATCACTACAGACGCCAGGGCCTATGCTACATGCAACATCTGTAAACTGCCAAGTAGTTTTACCCTCCATTAATCGCCAGTCAAGTGAAGGTCCAAAAGTTTTTTGGAGTCCACCATTTGACTGGTTTAAAAATTTTATTTGTACCACCTAGATTATAATGGCCTCTCGTTAAGAGGCTTTGTTGTTTCTTCAGTTTTTTTTTCCTACTTTTGTCGCAACAACGAACACCCAAAGACTATCCAAAACTACTCAATAACTAATCAATGTATATATATGGATATATTTTTTTGAATAAAAGTTGTTAAAATGTTTTGACAAAACTAAATATTATTAAAGTATTTTGGTTAAAAATCTATGGCATAAACCACTCCAGTTGCAACCTACGTCCCATCTCTGTACTATTCATTTTAGGCACACATTTTTTAAGGGTTCAAGTGTTAAAGCGAGCTTAGGTGTTAGCGGTTTTTCAGCACTTCTAAATTCAATTACCTGATTTATGAAAACAAATATAGGAAAGGTTAATGCATGAAGATTTAAAGTAGGCTATTTTAGGTAAATTTACATATTAGACATAAAGGTCACTAAAGGATAAAGGAAAAGCAAGAGTAAAGTACTGGATTTTCATAGCATTTTTTTTTGCAAAATATAGTGTTAAGAGTCTCCAACGCAAAATGTTCATCAAATCTGAACAAAAGAAAAAGCAGAGTTGGAAACCAAATGCACAACGGGCCTGAAGGAGGCATCAACGCAACTGTATTTTTACCTGTTTGTTAAGTGAACCCTTTCTTTCACTGTCTGCCAAATCCCAGATCTAAAGAGACATAAAAGGTTTACAAATTAATTTTAAAAAATGTGCTTGAAAAATTAAATAAGGTAGATGTGAGGTTCTGATCCATCTTCAGTGTTGATTCACCTTTCCCAACACTACGTCAGCCAAGCCGGACCGCTTCAGGAAGAGAGCCGCATCTGCTGCCGCCACTCGTCCGCTCCCAGAGGGATCCACCTGAACGCAACACATGAGACCATTTTCACTTTAGTTCAAACACAAACATCAGATCAGCATAATTCTACTAAGGCTATGGTCATTTATGTAAATGATTTATCACATTACTAAGAGACACTGGCAGTTTTTAGATTCAAACATTTAAAGCACTATTATTCAAACTAAACATAATGCCAAACAGAAATAAACGGACTCCTTTAAAGCAATGAAACTTTGACTCACTACAATCAATAGTGATAATGAAATAAAGCTTCTTTGAGCAGTTTATTAGCATAGTCGTTTTGTTTTTTTCCACTTAGCCCAGAGGGAGCTTGGCTTTCTGGTCAGCAATGAGAAACATTAATAATTCATAATGATACTTCCTTTGTTGGCCTTGAAGGCTAGAATGAAATGTTAGGCCAGAGAACTGAGCTGGCTACAATAACACTTCATCAAAGCAGCTAAAGCTAGCTTAGAGTTAAAACCACCAATGCACCCATATTGGGAAAATTATAGTTTTTGCTCATTTCAGCTACCTGTTTATTCCAGCATATCCCTAACTAGTGTTCAGTAGCAAAATTTAGCAAAGGAAAGGATTTTAAACCCACAGCCAACATAAAGCTCAAGTTCAAAACAGGGGTTGCAATAAATGAAATGTAACTTTTGACAATCATTTTTTTTTTAATGAAGATATTACCTGTCGATAATATTTGTCATAGACGGGATTTCCACTGGAAAGCTGTGAAAAGGAAAAAAATAAAGAGGAATATTATTAAAAAGTTCACTTAGATCGATTAGTCAATACAATACCACTTTAAACCCATAATATGCTAGATTAAACAGAGAAACTCAACTTCATTAATTAAGCAGCTCAACAAAACAATAAACCAAAGGGCAGTAATAGATAAGATCAAAACTTATGAGTGATTAAAAACATCCCAGCATCATGTTGGTCACAGAGTAATAAAATTGATCAGTTTGGGGAAGGGATTTAAGATCACAGGGGTGGACCCGTGTAAAGCCTGAAAGGGTAAACAACGCCCAATAAAGATAATAATCATAGACAACTTAAATCACCTTATTTTAACATCTTTGGTGGCTTCAGAAAAAACAGCGCTAGTCGCTTATATGCTCCTACTTTAGAAATTATAATCCCCACCATGACTGCAAAAATCAATTAACTTATTTTATTTATTAACCCAATATCCATTATGGACAAACTGAAAGTTTAAAAAAAATTAGGAACAAAAGAATCTAGAATATCCAACAAATCAGGGAAAATGTCAAGAACAGGGCTTAGCATAATATCTAACGTCGTTCTCAAACGCTTTTGGCAACAATTAAAACAATGTAGGGAAGTGATATATTATGTGATAGTCACAAATTAGAAGAACAGACTGTTCATTTTGGCTGACAAAGCATGTTTTTAACAGACCATGTTTTTGGGAAACAGATTTCCTCCTGTTTGACAAACCAACTAAATATTTTCCTCCATAACAGGTTCACTGAGATTTATTATGGGCCTCTTTCTCTCAAAATGCTTTTGATACTTGACACTATAAGAGATGAACCACATAGTCTGATAACATACAGTTCTGTTGCAGTTTGTTTCCCTGCACTCTTGATGGCTTATTCGTCAAGACAATGCTTTTAAAAGCTTCCCATATCATTAGAAGCTTGCATTGCAGGCAACAGCTAATTCGTCCTTCACTCGAAACCTCTGTAAACGTCCCTCTTTCCTCTGTCTGCTTTAGTGCTCAACAGAAAACAAATCGGCATTTCCTCTTTCTTATAGCTAAGCTGACAAATGGTCATTGAAATCTTCATTTCACAGGTGCAGGGAGGGAGGAAATAAGAAGTGAGCAAACCAGGGGGTTTGCCATTCCACTCTTCAACACCGCAAGGCCAACCATGGACCAAATTTAACCTCCACTGTACATCTAAAGAAGGACCACTGCAGATATCTGCTCAGGTGTCAATCTTGCAACAGATACGGAAACAAAGAACGTGGAAGAAAAAAAAAAAATGAAAAAAAAAAAAAAAACTGCAGCATGTCATAAGTTATTATCTGTCAGCTTTTTCAACTGCCTGCCTCCGAGATAAATGTTGACAGACACACACACAGGAGCACAGTTATCTCTCTTTTGAGCCAATGCAACTTTTTCTGTGGGACACATTCAATCCTGTGCCAGGAACTGTTGATGGCTGCAACACTGTGATATTTTTTCTCTGTCACTTTTTGGCAAAAAGAAAACAATCCCATAATCTGGGTTTCTGCAAATATCACTGTTAGATGTAAGACCTTTTAAAGCCAGTATGATATGAAATTAAGACCAACTTGATAACAATATTTCAATGACAATTTCAACTGTAAGAAACCCCACAGTTTTATTTTATAAACAAACTCTTCTGACCACTTTAACGTCTTGGTCACTAAGACCTATATCAGCTAAGAGACAAAAAGCAGTGACGGTCCTTTTAGATAACCAAATATATCATTATCAGGCAGAATTTAAAAACATTGCTCCTGAAACAATTTAAGCCTACCAGATACTGCATCATAGCAGACCTTTTCCATTACAGTTTTGCTCTTCAAAATAACCAATGCCATTTGTTAAATTGCACAACCCTGATCTTAACACAAACACTAACAACAAAAGTAATTTGGAGGATTCAATCAGAAAGACTCAAAACATTCAACTACTAATGCCAATCCTAGCTGCTGTTATATATCTAATTGTAGGTCAGGTAACAAATCTGGAACCTAGTGAGTTTTTCATTTGAATCAAATAAACAATATGACCAAATCTTATTTTTTCATTTAACAAGCAACAGGCTGACCTCTTTTTTTTTTTCTCAGAAAGGGAGGCTATTAGCTACTATAGTCCACTTCCTCTTATAGTTGCAAAGCAGCTTTTAACATTATTATTTTTACTTCAATACTTCTACACAAATAAGCTCAGAAGCTAACGGGCTGAAATTTAACGGTGTCCAAATGAAAAAAAAATATAACTGGAATAATACTAATTAAACCTCCCTGTAGCATATTTACTTCTAATAATAGCCACGACCAGGGTGGACATTCAGACTAACTGTAAGGGAAAACACGCCAATAGAAAGACAGTCCTTGAATATAAAACTAAACAACAGGAAACTTAAACTTAATAGCTGTTGTGACATAAATTTGACAACACAGGGATGATATATGAGCCACAGATGGGTATCACGTATTACCATCACTTTGGCATTGACCGACTAGCCCCCTAGCAAAAATGACGAGCAACGGCGACGTTTAATACGAAGCAGAGAAACGTTAGCTACACGAAGAGTCTGCAGTCTGACAAAGAAGCGGCATAAATCCTTAACAAAGACACAAAATTAGCTGTTAGCTAACGGGCTAACTGGCTAGCTACGCCCTTACGCAGTCCCCTAAGAGATTAGGCAGAAACTTTTCCCAGTCACAGCAGGACTAAACTTCAAAAACAGCCACTGCGGTCAAGGAGGGTTCAAATTTCTGCTCGCTTTGTCTAAATGACACCACCGAGGTGTTTTCAAGAGAAAAGGGGACAAGCCGGCGACGTTTGCTGCCGATATATTTGAGTAGTACAGACAGCGTTACCTGAGTAAGAGACAGAGTGGCAGCCATAGTGTTTCTGTTTCCCACTGCTTTCTGGCTGCGATACTACCAGACACCAAAAGGGGGCGCTGAAAACTTGGAACAGGACCTAAATGGAAAGGAATCATGGGAAACCTATTAGTTATATATTTATCCTAAAACACATAGCTTTTTCTTTAAAAAAATTAATTTTAAAGTGCAATAAAATAGCCTAATAAATATATGCATTTATATATATGTGTATATATAAAATACATATATGTATGCAATATA